ATGTATTATTTAATTTATTAGCTTGTTTTGGAAGTGATTTTACAGGAAAAGGAGGCTGAATGCCTGCCTCTCTCATGTGTGGGCCGCTTAGCGAAATACAAAGGCAAAGGAAAAGACTTTATTGCTCTCCCAGGCATCCTGAAGCATCGCGTAATGCAGTATGCTGTATGTGGTTCAAGTGCAAAATTATTGAGTAGGGGACTAAAAGAGCATTACTCCTTGACTTTCGGTCCTCTTGTACAATGCTGGGAATGTCAGTGAGGAGACCAAAAAAAAGAAGGCACTGCAGAATTGTGCGGAGCTTGAGAGTTTGTGTTTCTAGCCCTCCAAAGCACTGGGCTGCAGACCTACTCTTCTCAGGTGAGATGACAGTGTGTCTCTGTGGTGAGATGACAGTGTGTCTCTGTCGTGTGATTTTTGCAGGGAGAGAGAAGCAGATCAGCCTTTGCTTTTTTGCATCAGTAAGGCTGGGTCCTCGTTTACTGGGGCCCTGTGTAAATAAAACCAAGCACAAGAAGGTATTAAAGCTTTTCAGTCCTGTCTTTATGACAGTTTCTTCAGAAATGTCAAGAATTCGAGCTCTAGCAACATTTCTGATTAATACCTGCTTCCGATCTTGGAAACTCTTGTATTGTGATAGTTTAAGCAAAGGAAATCATCTAGTCTCAAGCTCTCTGTTTTATTTTTCCTTGCTGGAAGATTAATGTCTTAAAAAGCCAATGAGCATCTCTTCATAGGAATGTACATATTGCCTTCATCTGTCTCTTTTTATGAGTCTGCTGCATGTTGACAAGTACTGTACAATTATTTCTAACCTGCATGAATGTTTTTTTCCCCCCGTTTTTCATCTGTAGTCACAGTGACAAATCAGGGTTGCAGTATAAAATGTATTTTACTGGGGAATGACTGTGGTGTATTTGATTCCTTGCTGATTACTTGCTGTATTTCAGGGCAGAGGAGCTATATTTGATCTTGGGGGTGGAAGAGAAAACTACAGCGCGCGCAAGCTGGTGGCTGCTTCATGTTGTTAATTTATTGGCAGTTTTGGAGAAAGTCTGCATTCTGTTAATATTTTTCAGGCCAGATATTAGCATGAAGTATAGTGCTAGCTCTTTCTACAAGAGTCGTGTGGAGAATTTAAATCCTCAGAGACTTCTGTATAGTTGTGATCCGTAACGAAGACTTTTAACTGTCACACTCATGGAAATCATAATAAAGAGAAATAGGGTGAAAAGCCACTGCTCCTTTGAATCAGTGTCAGCAGTGACTCAGAATGTCTATTGATTTTTTTTTTTTTGTTATTGCTATTCCTACCAACAGTTTCAATTAGGATTCAGCAGAGCCACTCTGAGAAAAACCTGTATAAAATCTTTATAGTGCTTCATGGTATTTTTCGTTTAATATTGCTTTTAAAGTAATTGTGTCGTGTTAAAACATCAGTCTAACAGGCTGATGCAATGCCAGGCGCGTGACTTTTGTTGTAAATTTTTGAGTGTTTAACTACTAGAATAAGTAAATACATACTTGGTCAACTTTTTTAAACAACAGCGATAACAAGTTTTAAAACTCAGTTGTATTCCCCCAACACACTCGTTTTTGAACGGCAGGTTTTTGAAAAACTCTGCACCGTGTTTGCACTGCAAATAGTGTCTGTACCAAGACATAGTCTGGGTTAAAAGATCACAGGCTGTTCATTTTTAGCCTGTAATGCACTAAGGAAATTGTAGCGCTTCATCCACACAGTAAACATTTACTGGTTTGGGGGTGCGGGCCACATTTGTCGTGCCCTTCGCTCGTTTGTATTTGTGCGTTCTGGGGAGTCCGACTGCAGAGCTTGTTGCCAATGCAGTTACGGGAGCATCTCGCAAACAAACGTAGATTTCCATTTCCATTCGGTAGGGCTCCATCCTGTTTCCTGATCAGACTAGAAGATTTTCTTTGCTTTCAGCGCTGGGTTCTGGGGAACTTCACTGTCGTTAACCTGTTAAGGTCTCTCATAAATGTATTAACTCTCCTACACGTGGTGTTGGCTACTCTTTGGGAAATTAGCAGTGTATAGGCGACAATAAAAAAAAACTCTGGACTGCGTATCCTGCATAGCAAATCTTTTTGAGTAAAAAATGTTAAGAGGGAAATTGCTGATGTTCTTTTATGCAAAAAAGATTAATTTATGGAAATTGCACTGAAATGGGCAATGAGATTTCCTGCATTTTAATTTTAAAATGCCAGAACAGGGACAGACCTTTAACGTTCAGTGCTCCAAAGTTCATGACAGGCTCTAGGCTAAAGAGATCTCAGTTGCGTGGCTGTTTAAAATTTCTAATTTATTAAGAAGATGGAGGGGTTTTGCCATAGCCGTTATCAAGCTCTTCCTTCTGAGAACGGTCCGAGGCGTTCAGTCCACATTGTTGGTATTCCAGCTGTGGTTTTAATCTGGCACAGCTGCTCCATTCGGCTTTGCGTGAGCCGTTCAGGCTCCCTGGGGTGTGAAGAATATCCGTGGGATGAGCGGTCATTAGGCTACGCTAGTTCACATCGTAAGAGAAACTTAAAGCCTTACATAGGTGTCATTAATAAATAGGTGTTAGATATAAAAAGTCTTTACAAGTAATAAATAGGGCTTGTAGCTTGGCACTTGCAAGTAGTGCTCAAGATGTCCTGGGGCTCACTGAGAACGTGCAGCAGCACGGCCGCTGTCCTCCGCTGTCGCAAGGGCTACCTTGTACAGCTGGCAAAGGGCAGGAGGGAAGAACAGAGCAAGAGAAAGGAATGGAAGCAATCAGAGAAAAAGAAGAATGCCAGAAGGTCTACAGTAGGTTTTTTCGGTGGTCTAATGACAGATCATCTATCCAGTTTTCCTTTGCTTTCAGAGCGAGGTGGATATAGATGCCTAATTCTTCTCCTAACTCTTTCATGAACAGGAGCAGTACCAGCGGAACGGTTTAGCAGGAATTGTATGCCTGCTTCCTTTACTGAACGGAGAATGGTGAGAGGGAAGAAGTGAGGTGAACGATAGATACAGTTGGGAAGAAGGAGGGCTCAAAAACTCCCCAGGGCAAAACAGTAGGAAAAACGTGAAGAACTGCAAGAGGAGATTTAAAACAAAAACAAAAAACTATCAAATGAGGCTTTTATAAAAATAAATAAATAAATACAAAGATGTCATTGAAACAAAAAGGGGAAAAAAAATTAAGCAGTGAAGAAGTGGGGGAAAACACAGATTTGGAAAGAAGATGTTGATTTAGCTTTCTTGTAATGCCTGATGCTTCTCTCCTTGCAAAACTTAAGCATTTGGGAGATCTTTGGTAACAAAATCAATAAAATCTGTAAAATTGTTCAATTAGATTGAAGGCCAAAAGATAAACCCTTGTAATAAAAACTTTCACCTTTATTTACCAGATCAGTGATAAAAAGAGCTCACTGCTCATTTACTCAGAGATCGATTTTTTCCTTCAAGCTAAGAAAAAACATGCTACATTTGGACAGAAGAAAGCATTGACGTACCTTCTCCTGATTTACAGATTTGGAATACAGGGCAGTGGTCGTTCAAGCGTAGTTAAAACCGTAAAACAAATTACAACTTTACGAATATTCAAAAGGAAGCAGATATATACCTATGTACAAGAAAATACTGCTGGCAACTCTTGTTCAGAGATATAGTAGCTTTGAAAGACTGGTTTTATTTCCAGTTGCTATAGCTAGTGAATTTACTTCTGAATTTAACACTTATTTCAGATGTGATTTATTTAGGTTGTTCAAGTGTCAAAAGTGTGGTGAATTTAAGTAGAGCTTTTTGGATACATTATGTTTTTACTGAAATAAAAAGGGATCAGTGAGCTCTAACATTTCTACTCTTTTTATTAAAGTATTGTCTGATTTAGCACATTTGTGTTGTACATTAGTAAACATTTCATTGTTTGCAGTAATGCCCCCATATTTATTTTTCTTTCCAAAGAAGCAAACATCTCTACAATTGTTGCTATAAAAGTCTGACATTGTGTCTAATGAAAATTGATTCTTCTGCCTATAAAATATCCCTTTGGAAACAAAATTACTTCACTGATGATAACAATTGAGCTTTATCTAGATATTAATGAGATGTGTCATAAAGACCTTCTCTCTGAAGGGACATTATCCTGCAGCTTTCTAAAGCCTGGTTTCTTGTGCCTTCATTTCAAATACTAATTCCTCAGTGCTAAAACTGAAGTACATGGAGCATTCTGTCTGAACCGTCCTAAGTAATTTTTAAATTACATAGGGATGAACTTAGCTAAATTTCTTCAACCTCTAACCTTCTCATAGTCTTTCCAAAGTAGGAGTAAGGGTCGCCTTTAGTTAACTGTTTTGTTGAGACTTGGTTGCACGTTGTTTTGAGCCTGGATGGAGTTTTCTGTATTCCTTTATTTTTTTTTTTAAGTGCTCTTCAAACAGTTATTTGTATTCTATTGCTGAATTATAATGCCAAAAGATAGGTTAGTTTTTATTTGTTTGTTTGTTTGTTTGCTGGGTTTTTTACATTAAAATAGAGAGAGTTGTAAGTCTGATGTTCACTGTTTTCCGAAAGTCCATAGAGGTAAACAGAGCTTTTTCAGCCCTCAGCTGAGTAATCTGGGAGATCTGGGGGTTTTTTTAGTTTGGTTTGGTTTTAGTCTTTATTTAAGAGCAAGGGCTTCTCTTCCACCTGAGAAGCTTGACAGCTTTTGAGATAAAATTTGTGTTCAAAAACAGTTTTTGGTAAGTTTTCTCTTCCCTTCATACTTGCTTAATTTTCAGTTTTTCAGTATCTTCTGTATACATACAGTGTCCTAATAATCCATGGTGTTTTCAAGCAAAAATAGAGTAGCAAAATTAATTCAGAGAAGTGCATTTGTTTTGCTTTATTATTTGTTTGCAGCTGATCTTTGAAAAGGGCTGATTTGTACTTGCAGATTTTTAGAAACCATTTTGTGTGTGTGCTTTTCTGAAGCTTTTCTTAATTCTCTTTTTCTTCTATTTTGAAGGCTACAGATAGAAGAATCTTCAAAACCTGTAAGGCTATCACAGCAGCTGGACAAAGCTGTAACCACCAACTATAAACCTGTGGCTAATCATCAATATAACGTAAGTAACTTTTAATATTTTCCCATTTTCTCTTAGGCAGTACAAGTCTCTCAGGGCTTCAGCATCTCTATGGGACTGCTGTCCAGACTTTCTGCAGTCCTTTCGCTCACTAGCAGGCTGTTATCACTAGCAATGGTCCATAATACCTGTTTTTTTTTCTTCCCTTTAGTTTGTTTTCTGGATATCTTCTTTCTCTCTCAAGACCAACATCACCCTTGGGGTCAAGGTCTACTGATTCTAACTCTCTTGCGTTACCTGGTGGCAGGCAGATCTCCCTTACAGCAGCCTTTTTTGATTTCTTTGTTATATCCTTCCTCTGGTCATTTTTGGAAATGTGATTTTAAAGTTTTGGGATGAAAGGCAGTTTTGACTTTGGGCTGTGAGATGTGGAAGCACTCCTTTGGGTCAAATAAAGTATCACGTAGAGCCAGCTAAATGACTAGAAAAGAATCTTTTGTTTCTAGTCCTTTGCAGGGACTGACCTGCAAAGAAAAGAATAACAACGGATAATTTTGTACAGTTTCATACCTTCATAGTACGTATTATCGGCATCATTAGCTTTGTCAGTAATACACCCACGCTGCTGTTCCAGATCAGTTGATGTACATACAAACTGTAATGTCCTTTTTCTTAAAGATCCTTAGTAATTTGTATGTACGCATATATAATCACTGTTACTGTTTGAATGTGAGGAATGTTAAGTCATACTAAAACTGAGTCACCATGTTAGTCATTTAAACTTTTACACTTTTTATTAAGATTTTATTTACATAAAACAAATGACAATATACTGTGTGATATTTAAGCATTACTCTGAAAGGCATTCTATTTCCACAGAACCAAAAATAATCATTTCTCTCTCATGGGACTATTTGGAGGAGTTACTGTTTAAAGTCTGATCTATACATGGGTGATCGTCCCAATATAACAATTTCAGCTAAGGGAACGACATTTAATCAAAGTAGTCACACCAGTATGTCCTGCTATGTAATTGCAATTTTATATGAGTGTATGGTTGCTTTATGATGCTACTGTTATTTTCCTTCTTTAATTCTAGAATAAGCTATAACGATGTACAAATTCTCTTTATACTGGGAAGCTCTGCCGTTTCATTGGCACTAGCAATATAACTGTACCCTGTAGACAATCTGTGAATCTTGTGCAAGATACAACAGATAATGGTGTAACCAGGTTCTTTAAAAAATTATGATGCTTATGCATCCTAATGATAATATTTTTGGTGGTTACATAACTATCCATTTAATGGGAGTCTTTGGGCAGCATGTTTGTTCTTCATATGGGGCTCAAGGCCTTTTGATGGGAAAAGTCTAATAGGTCATGCTTGTGCATGAATCATCTTGGCCTTCCCATGACCCTGAAGACCCAGGCAGGACAATTTCCTACAACACCTTTCCTCTCATTATGTTTTTTGTTACAAAGTTCAGGTTAGACGGCTAGAAGGGCAGGAGATTGGGAGAACGAGTCCACAAGCTTTTTGTTTTTCTGATGTTTTGAAGCTGCAGCTGCTTTCTTAAAATGCACTGCATTGCTTCTAATTATATGAAAGCTCCGCTGGGGACAAGACTTATCACAAGACAAAAGCAAAACGGTACAAATTGCCACACATGCTGACTTGGTTCAGTCATCTTCCAGGGAGTTTCTGAGGAAGGAATCAGTGCCTGCTAACCTAGAAAGAGGTAAAATTTCCTGAAGGAAGAGAAGATAATATATTAAATGATGTTTAAATGTGGCTGCCCCGTGTGCCCCTAAGTGAAGATACAAACGGAAGGAGAGGAATTAGGCGCGTAGGGGGGAAATAGCAATAGCCTGTTTGAATACGAATTTGGCCATTAGTAAGGGAAGGCAAAGTGAATATTTTCTCTTCAAAAATTATGTTAAAGCTGTATTTTTATTAGTAGAAGTTACAATTCCATTATAAGGTATACCATAATTACAATTCAGCTCTTCTTCTCTGAGAAAGGGACCTTCGTTTTCTCTATATCTGGAAATGATAAACACATGTTAATGTTCTTGCAGGTGGAATCTTCCTATTACTTAATTACGTTTCATACTGCTGCAGAAAAGTTCTCTGGGCCCAGCTGGGCCGTCCTTCTTTCACTTTCAGATGACATCTTTCAGCAAATAAACAGAATATCTGAGTCATTATGCAGGCAATGATCATATTTATTTTTTTTTTAAATCGTATTAGTGTAGCATAGAATATTTATGTCTTTACAGGGAACAAAATAATTGATTTTATCCAACCATTTCCAAATACTTTTACCATAATAAGAATTATAGAAAAATGATGTTTGGAGGAATGTATAATCAAATTATGAGTATCTCCTGTTATTTTCAATTACCCTGAAATCTCCTGAAGACATATACCAAACCCTGCAGAAACTTTTGCCTGTGGAGCTAATGAGCACCTGATTAACATCTAGAGTTGTAGTATTGCTTGCTGTTGTAAAGAAGCTTTTGTAAAGATAATGTTCATTTTAAATGGCTAACATGCTAATACAATTTTGTGAAGTCTGAGCCTGATTGTCAAATTTTAACATGTAGATTGCTTTCTGCATGTTGGGGTACAGAGTTACCCTGTACACACAGAGTAAGAGATACTTGATAGGATCCTCTCAGTTTGGTACAATACCAGAAACCAGGATGATGGCACGGTATGAAAATTGGGTGAAGAAGGCCTTGTGGTAACAGTAATTGCATTGTAACCACTACATGCATAATCCTTACAGCAGTGTCAAGCCAAGGATGGTTCTGGTTACCCCTTCAGAGGTTGCTTCTTTATGTTCTCCCCTGTTCTCATTTCCTCTGATTGTAGAGGTTAGTAGCTGTGTTCCAGGTGGTAGGAGCAAGTTTGTTTATCTTTGGTTTAGCACCAGATATCATTGATTTATTGTACGTATAGATGTAGTTGATATTGAGATAGACAGGTATCACCATCTCCTTTTTGGGATGGTCTTCAGAACAATAAGCCACATGAATTTCACATTCTTGTAAATAGAAGTTAAAAACAACACTTTTAAAAGTAAAGTTACACTTACTCAGTAAACATCAGCAGTGAGTCGAAGAGGGTTTTTAAAAAGTGGCCTCTGTAGCAAGTTCCTCTTCTTATGTAAATGCTTCTTTTTCTAGTTAGCAGGAAGCCCTGCTTCATACCATTTACTCTGACTTTGCAGATGTCCCCTACAGATCTCTGTTCTGTTGATGGGTTGCTTTTGCTCTTTCACTGCTCTTTCTGGTCTTCTGCTGCACACACACTCCTTCAGAAGCCTTCTAGCGTGAGAGCCTTTACATCTTCCTTGATGTCATGTAGCTCTGTCCGTGAGGCCAGAAGTCGTAGGTGATGTGTCACAATACGAAGAGTTGTTCAGAAAAACTTCATCGTGGCAAAGGCTTTACCTGATGATGTGGATTTTGGTTTTTCACCTTGGTCATTCTTTATAGTGTTGATAGTGATGGTCATCGTGAGCTTACTAATGGATCTCATAGTAAGGTTAATGTTTTTCTCCGGGCACAGACTTAGAAAAGAAGGCTTTGCACCCCCAGTTCCAATTAGTCCTGACCAGGACGACTCAGCTCCTGTATCTCATGATATGGTTGCCATTGCTTTGGATAGATCCGGATCTATTTGTCAGAAGGCACAAAAATGGTTTCACTATCAAGTAAATCCCACTTTAAAAAAAAAGGAATTTTGATACGAATGTAAGACCTTTTGATACGTCTTTCAGACATCTTCAGATGAAACTTTCCAGTTTCACTTGTCATGCTGTCTTTATCACCTTTGTATTAATTGTCTGTCAGAGAAGTGGAATGCATAGTTTCTGTGTTAATGATACTTTCAAGAAGGCAATTTTGGCAGCTTTTCAGCAAGCTTAGCAACATACTCTGCAGGTAAACAAAGAGAAATTAATTTTTATATGAAGTCTTGCAGGGATAAACTAGCAACTTCTACTCTTGACAGCTTGTTCTAAAATGATCCTTCCTTGAAATCAAATCATATTTTAATACTTTTTAAATTTAAAAACTACACTATTTTAAATAAATCTAATTAGTTTACAGTGTACATGCATTCTGTAACATGACTCTCCCAAAGTATTTTGAGCCGACTGCATAAAACATCTTGTTTGCAAAGAAAATAGAAAGGAAGAAAATGAAAGGGTGCATTGTAACTTGATGCGAACGTTGTATTCACAAGACAAAAGAAGAAAGCGGCAACAGATACCATGCTTTTTTTTAATAGCATTTCACAATGCACTCTTTTTTTAGACAGCAGTGGGAGCTGTTGCTGAAGTTGGAGGCAAATAGTAGCGTTGCTAATTAAAATATTGGCAACTGGGGCACCAATTGCAGTTCCTTGTTTTCAACAAAGGGAGGGTTTGATCATCAGTTTTATGTGTGAGTTGTTTTTATACATTGAGGAATTATGAATCTGAGAATATTCACATTGCAGTCATATAGGAAATACAAACAGTCCTCTTCAATTTATTTTAGATAATCTGGAGAATGTAAAATAGAAAGTTCTGCTGGGAAGAGTTCGCAGAGCTGCTAACATAACAGAGAAAGAAGAACGCTGAGCGTTAGGGTTTACTAGCAAATAAAGACTGTGCTTCAGTTAAAAATACTATATTTTTTCCCAGCAGACTCTTACTCAGATCTTTAGGATTGGATACCCAATGATGAAACAGTCCTGTCAGAGACTTAGCATCAGTGAAGATAATTTTGAGGATTTCCATATGATTGCTTTGTTCCTTTGTGTAGGAAGCATCAATGTTAAAACATGAATGTTTTTTTTCCTCCATGTGGAGGTAAGTTGCTAGCTAAGCAGATTTGTCACTGTATCTTATATGAAGAGGTACAAATAATACTTTGGGTTTTTTTATTGTTCTCGGAGATTGTCTTGACAGTCACTGTAACTTTTCCCATTATTCCCATATTATTTACCCTTTATTCCCATAAGTCTGCTAAATACAGAATGAATAGCCTCATTACTTATCTCTTGTTCTTGCTCCTTAAAAAGAAAACAAAAAACAAAAAAGGATAAGATTGGTTTCTTCCTTCACTTCAGCTTAACCTTCCGCCTAAGGAGGTTACAGTTGGTTTCTGTTTCTGTTTTTATTCTTCTTGTTCATTGTGCTGTTGTTGTGTGGAGAGGTAAAAAATTGCAGAAAGGTTGGTAAGAACAGGCATAATAGCTGCTCTCATGGCAGAGTCATGCATCCTGTAACCGGCTGTCTTCAGCTTTCACACCGCATCTTTCAACTTGTATTTTTGAGTCAGAGAAAAGATACCAACCTCAGAAAAAGATGCACAGATCTTAACACTGAAGAGTGACCTCAAATGTTTGCAGGAATCCAGAGCTCAGTCAAGCATTGCAAATAGAGAGGGCATCATCTTTCCGGCTATCTTCTGGAACCGTCAGATGCCTTTCTGGCAACCAGTTAAGGCCGGATAATCCATCACCTCCTCTTGTAAAACGTTAACACGTGCATACATTGAAAACATCATTATCAAGCTAATGTCCCCAGCCCCAGTGTCCCACAGCCACTGTCTTGAGTGTAATAGGTGCCTACTGTGAAGTCGGTACAGTGCTGTTTGATGGTATTAGCCGGGACAGAGATTCATAGCTTCACTGGAAAATTTTATGAGTCCATAAGTCAAAAAAGATTGAAAACTCAGGTTCAGGAAAGCCCATTGCAGTTGAATGCGGTGGCTAACTTGAGAAAACTCTGCTTCCAAGAAAAGAGAGTATTAGTATCTTGATTTTTGAAGAGGACCCCATGAGGTTGCAGTTCTTAACCTTCCTTGCTATGTGCAAAGAAATACACAAACATCTCAGACCAATCCTTTCTACAGTGTGGGACCTCTCTAAGTGTAAATGAAAGATTTTCTCCACCAAATTTTATATTAATTAATCCTACAGGGCAGTAATTCCTGCCTTTCCCTGTGATGTGCCGAAAGAAAAGACTACCAAAATGTACAGTGAAATGAAATTCTGATCGTAATAGTAGGTGCTTTCCAATGCTAGCAGGAAGTAGAAACTTTAAACTGTAGGCTGAGATAGATGTGACAAATTCATGCATTTTTTTTAAGACTAAAAGGACAGTTATCATAACACCATAAATTTAAAATGCGTATCTTGAAGCTTGCATGCCTCACTGTCCTCAGGGTGCACCCATATCCTTGCAGCAAGTCCCTACACTTTTGCATTAAGTTAGAGCATGACGGTGGTAGATGCATGATTAGTAGATAATTGCTCTCGAGAAATGCTTTCTCAGGTGGGAAAAATATAAATGTTCAGCATATACCTCTAGGAGATTCTCACTTGAATCAAGTGCAAGTTAACTGTATTTTTACAGCTGCAAACTTTGGCTGATGTCAGATCAGTTGAAAATGAAACGCACAGAACTTTTGGCAATCTAACGGTCGATAGAGTATACTGCTTATGTTGCAGGTGGCAGAAGAGGCAGGCGCTTAGCCTATCGTATATCTCACGTTTCGTCTTAAATTTCATGCAATAAAGGGTCGGTCTCCTCCTCCTTCCCAGTCTTTGGATCATTTCTTTTGGTGCTTCATACAGAAATCCTTGTTATCCTGCCAGGATGTGGGTACCATTGCGTTTTGCAGACTCAGCAGTGTCTCCTCCCTGTTGAAACGTAGCCTGTAGTCTTAGCAGACTTTTAGATGATTTGAGATTTTTCCTCTCTTCTTTGGTACCCGTATGACTATGCAAATATACCCAGTAGAGAGCCAGCCGACTGTTTTGCTGGTGAAGTTGCAAGGCAGGTAGCCCTGAATACACCTCTGGCCATGCTGCTTGGTAAAGGATTCAGCGTAGGGTCAGGAAATGTTCCTGTATTATGCTCTTTATCTGCGTAGTGATTTGCTGTTGTAATAATGGTTCCTGATTGTGTTTGTGATTTGTAGTTTTGGCTGAGTAGACTTGTCCAGATGTTTTTTAGCAACATTGTGGTTATACTGCGTGTGTTTACAACTCGATACAATGGGCTTGTATTGTACTTATTTAAGGGTAAATAGTGACACTATCCCGGTAAAGAAAAAGAAATGGAGTCCACATCAGGGCTTCTGAAGCTCACAATTAAAATGCTTTCAAGGTCAACAGAGAGTCCTAATGAATTGTCTGTTGGACTTTCAGAAGAGAGGAAATGTTTGAACGGACTTATAGTAAAGCTAATGTCCTAGACTTATGCTTCTACTCTAGTTTGTGCAGAGTAGCTGTTCTGCTGTAGGTCATGGCACCTAAGATGATGTTATGTCAAGCTGTGTTACTTGATGCTACAGTTTGCTATTGTTACGAAGCTGTTACTGTTTTAATGATTTTTTTTAATACAGAAGCTAGAGATATAAAGAATCATTGCAATGTAATAAACCATCAAAATATACTACTTGATGAAAATCAGTTGTGTGCAGAGAGGTATGTGCAGAGAGGTTGTGTCTATTATTGCATTGTCATAAAGCTGGAAAATCAGACAAGTGTTTCGACACACAAGCCCCTCTTCAAATTGTGAGCAGAAGCAACAAACTTCAAGCTACAGGTTGGGAACAATTGTTCTCGCTCCATTTGATGACATAAAGCAGTTTCAGAATTTGAAACAGGAGGTTGCTGGCCAGAGGTTTGTGAGCAAGGGTAAAGGTGGTAGTAGTCTTTAGCCTCTTTGGGACAGAGACCAAAACAGGCTGTTACCACTCAGACAGTAGGAGGAAGTTAGCTGGAGATGAGCTATGGGAAAAATTAAATTGTACCATAAAACTAACGTCTCTGTGAGAAATATGATTTTTAGCATCCCATAAAACCATGAGTTTTCCTTTCTAGGCTTCTTCTCTGAAGGTTTTCCTTGAGGATCATTTCTGAGACATCAGAAGCAGAATGATTCATTTACAAAAATATTGTCCCCCTGACAACCAGACCATTATTGATTGTGCAAATGTTGTGTTGTGCTAGTTTGGATCCAGCCCTGTAGTGTCCCTGAAAGCATTTGGTGATTACATGAAATATATTAAATCCTGGGACACGTGTCTTTTCTCCTTGGAGTTTGATGATTCTATTATTGAAGGTATTTGTTGAGGTTGTTGGAGAGATGTATTGGCAAGGGTTGGAGAGATGTACTGTTGTTCTGTCATGATTGGATTTTGTTTGGTGTGTGCTGTCTTTGAAAATCTTTTTTTCTGATGATGAATTTGGTAAAACGCAAGAAGTCTTATTGGAAGCTGGTGGGGCTAGAAGTTTCTGCAAAAATGTATTTAAGATACTATCATTTTGTGCAGATTGTAGTAGCTTAATAGTTTTTCATATACATTCTAGAATAGGGTGGAAGGTGCCAAGGAGGTGCCTGTACGTCCTTGGAGTTTTCTTCTTGGACTATGATAAGTTTGTCTGTGGTACTCGGATTTCTCCTGAAAAGATACCACGCATTTGCTAGAAGTGTGTCCGTATGTGATGGGGATTTTGTTTATATTGATGGAGTGGCTGTCTTGATGTTCTCTCTGGAACGGATGAGGTGGTATCTACAGGCCCGGCTGTACACTGTGGATATTTGAGTGTGCTTTGGATAGTTACTGCAGTGATTGTGGATATAGCTGTATCGGTCTTTGGATTTTCCCGAATATGGTGATTTGTAAGTTACTGAGATTAATATTTGTGATAATACTTCAAAAGTTGATATCAAGAGAGGTGGAGTGAAAATACCAGCTCAGTTCAGTTTCCTGTACTGTTGTTAATTCTCTCTTTAGATTTGGGCACATTTTGCAGACTTTCTTTCTGTTGTTTTTTTTTTTTTTAACTGGTTAAAGCAGAGATATTTACTTACCTGAAAAGCTTATTGTGCTGAGGACAAAATGCTTAGTTTATGTTCATAAAAGAGTATTTAAGTGCTTAAAAGAAAAATTTTCAGATGAAAAGCACTGAGTCGTTCAGTAGTGTTTTATTAAATAGTTTTTTTTATGTCTTAATGTTTAGCACTGAAAATTATCCAGTGTTACATATGAATGTCTATAAAACATGTTTTGTATCTAATTGATAGATTGAATATGAAAAGAAAAAGAAAGAAGATGGAAAACGGGCTCGAGCTGATAAGCAGCAAGTGTTGGACATGCTTTTTTCAGCCTTTGAGAAACATCAGTATTACAACATTAAAGACCTGGTGGACATAACCAAACAGCCGGTGGTATGTACTAGTAGTCTTGTAATACAAATATTTTCAGTAGTTACTGTTCTGTATATTTTCTATATATAGCAAATAGTTTAATATATACCACATGCCTGTGAAAGAGCTCTCTAAATGTTACAACAAATGGAAATCATCACACTTCATAATTCACTTCTGGAGAGCTGTGCAGGATACCAAGCGTTGCAGTGAGCTTGCTGTCCCTTGGCAGGATGGGTTCAAGTAACTTAAAAGGTCTTTTTCTTATTTTGATTCTGTTTAATATTAGAAATCAAATTCTCTAGTGCTCTGATGTCTCTGATACTACTCCTGTTCTTACTGAAGTGATAACCTAGTTGTCTTGTTGTCATCAACAGGGTACTTAAGTAGGTGGTCAGCCCTTCAATCAGCCTCTGACCTTTACCTTAGCGTAGCAAGAGGAGTTATTCATGTCTGTGGGTCTAGAAAAAGGTAGTGTGGTCTCAGATTTCATAGAATTAGTATTAAATGCACACATTATCCATGCCAGGAGCTCAGACTGTGCCAAGACCCCTAAAATCAATTGATTTCCTTTACAGATGGAAGGATTTTTAGAGTAGAAGTTTTGGGGTCTAATGCTTGGGAGTTGCGTTGTGTTGTTTTTAAACACTGTTTTGAACTGGGAAAAGCGTTGAACACCTATGCTCACGTGATGGTTAACGTTATCCTGCAGTATTTGCCACGTCCTTTATCTCTGAACCCCGATTTCCCAGTTCTTTCCCTTCTTTTCCTGTTCAAATTTTCCTTGAACAGGCCAGGCGGCAGCGGGGGGAGGCAGTGACACATGAAATGGGTGACCGTTGCTTGCCAACCAACTGCAGCTGCAGCAGCTGTAGTCCTTGAGCAGAGATGGGACAGCAGGTCAGGAAACCTTATTACCAGTGTCTTTATCTCCTTCTGTCTGCTTGCTTTATCACAAATCGGCACCTGTAGGGGATAAAGTTCTAACACAGAGAAATTCAGAGTTTGTAGAATCTTTTTTTTTTTTTTTAATAAACAGCTTATTTTGTAGGACTAGCAAAACCTGTTTTCCCACCTTAATATGCCAGCCCTCCTCCCGTGCTCCTGCTGTCCTGTGTGAAATTCCTATTGTGGTTATTGGTCAGCTGGCTTCTGTTGAACAGCTGGTTTTGCTTGTTTTCTTCTGTGATTTTGGGGGTTTTTTTAATATTTTTGATTTTTCCGCTACTGATTTTGATATCTGTCCTCAATGCAGCTGCAGTTTTCCGAAGACTTAAAGGAACTTAATTATATTTCGGTTTAAATTAGCCAACAATTTCAAAAGTAGAGGGAAGGCAGGTGAAGGATCAGTGACAGCTGGATTATAGAAACTCTGATTCCTTTGGAAATGACAGGAAAAAATGGAGACGCTTACCAGTTTTGCCCAAATTCATATAAAGGATTAAGTGGATCTGTATGAGAGGATTTGAATAATATAAATGCACAGTGCATTCAGTTGAGAAGCTGCACAAAGACGTTACCCAATTCAGAAACCTGTAGGTTCACTTTGTTGTAGTACCTTAGCATAAACTGTCAAATAATTTATTCATTTCTTTCATTTATTTATCTAATGAGTCAGCTCCTTATCTGTGTGGCAGGGAAAGCTTGTAGGACAGGAAAGCTGAGGAGGAAGGAATAGGAGGAACATATGGAGGAAGTGGCAAGAGAATTCCAGGATTTTTTTTTTAATAGAAGATCAGTGTTAAAGTCACTATCCTGATCACTTTAAATGTAAGTAGGTGCAGATTTATTCCATCTAATGTAACTGGGGTTGCCAGCTGGAAATATTGTCTCCCTCAACTCCCAATGTAGCCATCAGAGGGGGAAAAAAGATCTTTTCCTCCTGTGTAGTGATTTGCTTCTTGGATGTACCTGTCTTTCTTCATTGACTCAAAGGATGCTGGAGAAACTGTTCTTCTGACACAAGTTGCTTCTTTAGCACCAAAAGTTGGACAAGATGAATCAGTTTTTTGTCTCGGTCACTGCCTCGAGGATTGGATGGTATAGGGTAATTTTATCTTCTGTGTTTACAAAATACCTCACATGAATACTTTTATTACGTTTTTGATAAATTTCTATACCAATCTATATGCTCGCTGCTGTTTTCATGATATGCTCCTCAATAACTGTATTCTGCCCATAGCATAGTGGATCTATTTTATGTACTTTCACTTGAGCAAATCTAACCATTATTAGCAACTATCATTGTAATGCACCTAACGTTAAAAGGAAATTGTATACTAACTTGACCGAACATCACATTTTATTTGGGCTGTATCTTTGCATCTCTGTTTCTTATCTGAGTGTCTCCAGGCATGGCTAAAAATCCCGAAGTTTGACAGTCAGCAGCTGGAAGGGCTCTGTACCTGCGCTGATCCTTACACGGGTCTCTCACCGTCTGCTTAGGCAGTGTCTGGATGACAGCCCATATGCTCTTATTTATCTGGGGGCTCCTGAGATTACTTGAACAGTTAAATCCTTTCCCCCGAGTGGACTGTGCAGTCTCAGTCTCGCCCTGTGCGTGAGAGTACTGATTCCTTGCTAATTCCCAGATGGATTTTTGCCATAGGTGTTTATGCCCTTCTCGTTTCCTCATACCCGGATATTTGGAGAAGTGAAATGAACTAAATCCTCTTCCTGCCGTGTTTCTTTGTTCGCTTGACAGCCAATATGGCGGTTAATTTAAAATTATCTTTCGGCACATCATCTACCACTCATGTAAAGCTATCGTAATTTCCCACCTGGGCTCCCTTTCAAAACTTCTCTAGGGAGCTGCTAGTGGAATTCATTTCCATTTTAAAAATACTAGCCGTAGTTTCCTGCAGCGTCGCCAGTTTTCACTCAGCGTGCAGGTTTTCCTGATGCTGCCGACTTTACCCTCTGTTAAAGTATCTGCATCTGTTCCTGATGCCCACTGTGACATTATTGTTCACAGAGCTGCTATACCTCATAAAAAAGATTTAAATGCCAGCAGGCTGAATAGGCTTGCTTTCCCCGTGCTGAAAAGGGTTGGCTGTTAATTAATCCCTGCTGAAGTGTTCACTGCTTTATCTTCTGTCATAGTGTCTAGGATTTTCTGGGTATGTAATTTCTCCTCTGAATTTCTCAATGTTGAGGTTATTTTCAAAATGGAGGGAAAAAAATGTACTGCTGCTGTCTCTTCAGCTCCTGTGATAATGAAGTTCTAGATGCTTACGCCGCTGGCTACTAGTATTTAAAACAGACTTTCTAAAGGAATCAAAATCTTGGTTAGTAAAGTAATAAATAAACAAGGACATTTCTCTTGCATAATAATAAATGTAAATAGTAAATGGACTCCTTGCTACAGAACGAATTGAAGGTTACACAGGAAGGTGCTACCATCTTTCTTTTGAGATCCTGGAATCGCCAAGTCACTCTGTTCTGAATGCAAACTACTGTTATGTTAGGGAAAACTGTTTTTGTATGTTTTTAACAAAAAAAAAAAATACAGTTGTGGTAGTAGGCAAATCTCTTGTCACCTACCCAGAGGTAAAAGCTGAGTGCTCCACAGAAATCATTGCAGCAATTCTAGATTTGGGCTGAGAACCGAATATGCTTTTTACGTGAGCAATCAAATATTTATAAAGAATGGAACCAGTGGTCTAATTTGAACTGTGTCTTTTCAAAATAACCTATCCTGTCTGCAGTTTTTTGTTACATTTAAGCTTTAAATAGTGGGTTATCCTAAATGTGGTGGTGTTTGGGTTCCTCCTCCTCCCTCTGCTGGGTTTCGGAGTGGTATATAAACATCCAGAATCCGTTTTGCAGATGAGACCGTGGATCCCCGTTTAACGTTCACCAGAGTCCAAAATGCAGTATTTGGCTTGTGTGAAATAAGTGGAAATGAGCGGTTTCTTTTGATGGACAGATGATATAGTATCAGACTGGGCAGTATACTTTAAGATGTTCTTCAAAACGTTGTCTGTTGCCCACACATCTTTCTTTGTCCTAGCGTGTATACATAAATGATGCAAATGTGTATATATATATATATATATTCTGTTTCTTGCAACGCTGCAGTGAATTCACTGACATATCTTTGTAATTTTTTCAATATCAGTCTTTAAAGCAGACTCCAAGTGTATTGTTAAGCTTAACACCCTCAAGCATGTCCTTCAAAAATTCATCCCAAATTCTTACCCGAGAGTCTTGGCCTCTGATCACTTACAGTGACATTACAGACAAAAAAAAATACAAATAATTTTAAAAGCCTCTTACTTGTAGTATTAACATTTACAGGCGTTCCTGTTGTAAAATGGCCTAATAGCTCCATTCTTTTACATGTCCCTGTGTAAAAGTATAGTCTAATCCGACAGGGCAGTCATTGCAGTGGAGCGCAACCATGTGGGAGGACCTGGTTCCTGGAAGAAGTGATCTTGTAGGAAAAATCATGTCCCCTGACCTCATCTAGTCAAGTCGCTTGTTCTCAAGTGGGAGCAAGTGTAGGATTATCACTGATTTGGGTTAGTTTTGTTCAGTTTTGTTATTCTGTTGAATTTGCGCTCTTGGAAGGTCCGGGCTGTTTCTTGGAGAGACGCGGGACTGCCCAGCGGCTGGGTCTGAGAACGGGGTCCAGTTAAAAGTAGCCCTCTTGTACCCGCGTGCGTGGTTTGGAGGCCTGAGCAAGCAGCTGGAGATGAGAATTGCGTAGTGGAAAATGCCCCCCAAAAGTACTGCCACCAAATAGCAGCAGTGCTGCTGGCAGCTGCCCACCGCGGTAGCCTGAAGGGTTTTGCCCTTTTGTATGGTCACGCTTTGTGACCTGCCTCCCAAAATGTCAATTAAGCCGCCCAGCCCAGTGGCTGCATGTGGATGTGCTTAATGTGTCTCAGCTGCTTTTGGTATTTGGGGATTTTTTTTTTTTTTTTTGAATTCTCATGAACCTGGGCTTGTGGTCCGGAGCAGAGTTTAATCCTGAATCTGAACACGTTTCTTCATGCGCTCTGACATATTTTGGGGTGTCTGTCAGTGGCACTGTGGAAAGCTGTCTCGCATGCATGCGCAAGGATGGCAAACAGAGCCGTGCATGTGCGCGTACTCATATGCCTACAGGGCTTTTCTGCCTGCCTCGATCACCTCTGCACGGACGTGCTGGGCAGCGGCAGTATCGTTGTGCACAAACGTTTGCGCACTGATGGCTGTTTCGGTGAGTGCGTTTGTCTTAGCCCTCTGACTAGCCTGTCTGATGTCAAGTGTGACAGCCGCTCTGCCTCGGCTCAGATGCGGTAAGGGGTGCTAGAAGATATATATTGATCTCTTGCTGCCACCTGCTGGGGTTGCTGTCGAAGGCATGAAGAGTCATGCTTGCGGGACAAGACGAGCACCCCGTTCCCCGTGCTCTGCTCCAGCGCTCGGCCACTTTGCTTGACGAATTGAGAGAAGATCCTTAGGAAAAAAAAAAAAAAAAAAAACAGTGTGCCTATGCAGTCTGCTCTACTGATTTTTCTTACTCAGAAGACAAAGTGATCTTTTAAATAGCCCTCACTGCTGTGGGGTAGATTTTTTTAGAGTTGTTTTACTACACAAGTCTAAATGATACAGGAAGAGTAGAGTAACTAGAGTAACTATCAGTTTCTTTAAAAGAGAACTTTTTTTTTAACTGACTGACATAGCCTAGTATAATTTTATTTATTTCCTGACTTTTCTGTTTGGCGAAGAATGAGAAGAGTGTAAAGAAGAGATTGGGCGATCAGCCCTTTTTTTTTAACGCTATGTCATCAACAAATAACTGCTTTTTTCTGAGTTGGGCTAAGTTGATAGTATCATTTAGTGTACTTGTAGATACAGAAAACACAAAGGTTCCAGTAACTCCAGTCCAGTATACGCTCTCGAAAAGGATTAAATTGCCCAAACTGAAGCGATTCTAAATTTAATGTGGAGATTCTCAAACAGTAGTCTCTGGTTGCCGTGGCAATCCTCTGAAGACCGCACTGATTAATATTTAAACAAACAAACAGGCAAATGGTTCTTTAAAAGAAGGATAAACAAATGACTGGTGTTTAGAGTAAAGAGTGGTATTTGTGCGCTGTCTTGCGTCAGAGGTTATACTACCGGTTATCACGGCTTTTTTTATTTTTTCTTTTTTCTCTTAACTGACCTTAGTATCTGAATATATTCAAAAATCCTCTGGCACCTGCTCAGCGTTCCTCTAAAAACGGGCAATAATAAAAAACTTAAAGCGTTGCAAAATAGCCTGAAAACCAACAGCCTGGGATCTGGTGGGATCAGAATAAGACGGTGAGTTTCAGAGTGCAGAAAGTCCAAAGTCAGCTGGCCCCCCTGCGGAAAAGGCGGGCGGTGTTAGCTCAAGTCGTGCATTTCCAGCAGGACGAAGAAGGTCTTTGAGATAACTCTTGAGATTTTACAAAAGTGTAGAGTGGCTATGTTAAAACTGGCTGTAGGAATTTCACACCAAAGGGCAGTGGAAGCCGTTACAAATGAAGATGTGCACACGCAAAGTACAATCTGAGATGAGAAGAGCCAAGATCGTTTTAAGGACCTTAACAGTGAGATTTTATAATTTCTGGCTTAGAAGTGATAGAGTTGGTTTTAACTGCTTCTCTGCCCGTGGAGTGCGAGCCAGCAGGATATCCGGGGGGCTGTGGTGGCTGAGACAGCTTACAGCCACCTCCGGCAACTCCACGCACATAAAATTGCCATCTGCATAGTTAACTGTCTACTGCAGGAGTGAAGAGAAAGCGTATCAGCACCTCCACTCCTTTGTAGTTTGGTAAGAAACAAAATAGTACACAGATTTGTAGACCGACTGTGTGTCTAAGGCTTTGGGTTTGTTGGACATGTCTCAGCCTTTTGATTTCTCAAGTGCCCCAATTTTAGAGCAGAGCTGTAGCATATAGCTTGCTAACTTACCAGTAGGTGTTACTGCTGCAGGTCTGTAATGACCTGCCCTGAATCATCCTCGCGGAGAAGTTAGGGGCTTTTTTTCGGTGAGCCTTGGAGCATCTCTTGCTCCAGGACGTGTGTCTCGGCGCCCTGGCAGGACTGTGCCCGTGGCCAGCGCGTGAGCTCTCGGATCCGGGGCTCGGGTGTTCCCTTCTCAACCCCCAGCTCGACTCTTAAACCAGTTCTGCTTTAATCTGTATCGCCGTCTGAGGATTTAAAATCTGTCATGTGTTCATTTAAAATGTAAGCAGAGAGTAATTGCCACATAACTAATCATGTGGCATGTCAGAAGTTACTGCAATTCAACCGTACGTGTTATTGCTGTCTGTCAGGCTATTTCATTACCGTTGTTATTAACAAAGTAATGTAGTGATTTGGCAGATCTTGTGGCATCATGTTATAAGTAAGATCTATGGTAATTGCCTGTCTTTATAATTTGAAATTTTGTTTCCTTTCAGATATACTTGAAAGAAATTTTAAGAGAAATAGGCATCTACAACGTCAAGGGGACCCACAAAAACACATGGGAGCTGAAGCCAGAATACAGACATTATCAAGGAGAAGATAAGAGCGATTAACAAAACTGTTTTTGAAGCAAAAGAGAACTATAGATTAGAGTGATTGCACTGAGGGAACCGCTGTGGGTTTACAGACAGGACTGAGCGCAGCTCAATTCTACAAGATTAAATTTAAATTAAAACAACTGATACTTTGTAATTTTCCTTAGCTTCATGTTTTTCAAAGGAATATTTCTTGTAAGTTTCTATAAGTGTTTGTCTCTGGACAAAATATATTTATAGAATAAACTGGTATTAGATTTATCTTTATTAGAAATCTTCTGAGTTCTGATTTTCCTTTTTTATTAATGGCTTTGTGGTTTTTCTAAGCCTTGATAACTTTGAAGGAGAACATGTCCTAGCAGATGCCATGACTTTGTGCTTTTGCATTCCAGTAGTACCAAGTTAATACGCTCACTGCTGCTGTGACCTTTAAGGGCTCGATCTGGAAGGCTGCAAAGATGCACAATCCTGTGTACGTTGCTTGGGAGTTGCGGACATTATGCTCCTTTGCAGATCGGGCTTTAGGAAAAATAGCCACCGCCACGGTGCTCATCGCAGTCTGCAGACTTCATGGGAACAAATGAACAGGAAAAAAAAACCCAAACGCAAAGGCTGTTTGACATGTAGGTCAGTGAGGAAGAAGACAATCTCTTCCACATGATTACTGAGGGAAAAGATGAATTGTCTGTCTATTAGGTACATCGAGGAACAGATTTATTTCTTGTCTTTTTAAAAATGTTACTGATGTTTTATGTTTAAGCATATCAATAAAAGCAGTATTTTAATTTGTACCAAGGAATGATCTGTGTTATTGACTGAAAACATGTTACGATTTAGATAGTGTAGGTATGAAACTCTCTTGAAAACTTTGTTTTTATCCCTGACTTTCCTACTGGCTTTCCAGGTCTTCTGCGGAAGATTGCTCAATGTGTCCGTGTCTCTGTTTCCCCCATTTCTGAAATGCGCATTACAAGGGTCATGTATTCAGAATCCTTTGGGAGGGAGGGAGGAGATGCGACAGGATGGTTTCATTGTATGTCTTAAACTTTTGGCTAAAAAACGAGCACAGAGAACAGCGTGGGGAAAGCCCCATTACTCAAGGAAACCTGTAAACAAAATAGAAAGTGAGATTTCATAGCACAACTGCCGTATTTTCTCATGTCCCTCAGATGTGTGCATCACTTATGCACAAGGTAATAAAATAATTGGTGTATTTTCAAAGCAAACATTCCATTATTGGTACACTTTGAAGCAACAAAAGCATAGGAGAGGAACTGAATGCCTTAGAAAGCTGATAAAACAACTCTGACCCTTTTGTGTATAAATCACACATTTTCATTTTGCTCGGCGCGGTTACCTGGAATTGCTCGTGTAAGTATCTGTGTACCCACGTGCTTCCTGCTGCTTCGCAACCATCTTTGACATGAGCTGTGAAGTCCCTAGTAGATCGACTACGGAGTCTTTTTGAAAAGGAGGTCACATGCCATGGATTTGCGTGCGCTTTCATACGTATTGCCATTTACTTCTGTCTCCTCAGATTCTGCTAGCAGTATCCAGCTTGTAACTGCTGCGGGAAATATTTGAAGATGCTGAAAGGAACCCGGGAAGTCTGCGTCCTTTTTTAGCTACGGTACGTTATGTGCTCCCCAGCCGTAGCCAGAGCCTGCACGCGTTGCTGTCCTTCCTGTGCTGTTCGAGCCCTCTGGAAACTCGTGTTCCCGAGCAGCATAGGCTGAGAACTCTTCCTTTTAGTGAGTTAGGCCCCGCTGCTGCATTGATATCATGTTTGAGCAGCTATGATGCAAAGAAAGTCTGGATTGGATTCTCTCTTGTGTTGCTCCTCAGATAAAACCATGCGGGGGAATGCTGTGCAATTCTGCTTTAGCAATGCTGTTATTCATGGTCACAAGTAAGAACGACTGTGCCATTTCAGAGGGAAAAAAATTACCGTTAGTAGGATTAATCCCAGTAGGATTAAGCTAGCAAGAAAGTTTTTGGGTATACCTTTTGTTTTTATGTGAGTTCACTTCTTCACAACTTGTCTTCAGTTGAGAGGGGCATAGTTAGTCAAAACATCACGAAATGCCGTGAAGATCTAAGTAAAAGCAGGTGTTTCACTGACCTGCAGAGTGCCTTTGGACAGGGTAAACAGGCTTTCCTTAGTATTAAGGAAAGGCTATAGAGTACATTGGTTTTTACTGTACCTCAAATTAATTTTTATGAGCATCATTAAAAATATGGAAAGTGCTAGAAGTAAACTAGTTGCGGAGTTTCAAATCAACAGGGAACAAAAAGGTTGAGATAACCAGCAAAAAATCTCTGTTCTCAATAGTTCTGCCCTGCTTGTTCTGCAAGGGCTATTAACAGGATTGCCATCTGCTGAGAGATGAGGAGGCTTGTAGGCATTCATTTCTGATTCCCCAGCCCCCGCAACTTTATTGATTTAGGCTCTGAACTCATGGCAGTGATGAAGGCTGATTCCCTGCTGGTCTTCCCATGTGCTGCTGTCTGAACGCTGTCCAACTCTTTGCTAGTGCAGATGTTCTTTAATATTACTGGTCAAAACACTGGCACAGCAGCCGGTCCCGTAGGTGCTAGCTGAAGTAGCATCAATGTGTTAAGTGCTGTTAAATGAAATTAAAAGTGCATCTACTCTCTAATGTTAATTCTCCCTATCGAGCCATTCTTTGAGTCTTCAGAAATTTTACGTGGGGTGACTGCAAGCAATCAGTGCAGTAGCAGACGTGAGCGAGGGGAAGCTCTTCGCTGTGGTGAGATTCAAGGTGGGGTAACGCCGGGGATTCCCGCTGTTTGGGATGGTGTTGCAGGCACAGGGCTTGCACGTGCAGAAACATGCGCTAGGCATCACTGAAATGTCGGCAGCCGCGCTCTGCAGCGCAGCCTGGGAGGGGGGAGCCGTCGCAACGCTTCAGCTCCTGTTCTAGTGCTGGTGCTAGATCAGCAAGTAGTCTCTTCCCTAGGGAACAGGACTAATTGTATTAGACAGTTTTAATACAAGAATTTGCCGCCGATGAAAGGTTTTGCACCAAAATAGCTTTGCTGTTGTAAATGCCCGGTCTGGTACAGGCAAGGACATAAGCTGGTGTAAGGCGACAGTGATGCGGTTCCCCCAGTACAGAAATCCCTAATGCCGATGGGCTGGGAGCAGCTGAAAAGAGAAGTGCCTGGAGATGGCTGCTGCTAAGTGGGAAAGTGGGTGGATTTGAACCTGAAAGAGCCTAAATGTCCTCTGCAAGCTGGTCCCAGTGCGCCTTTGCTCCCTTCCCTTCTCTCACAGACCTGGTGGACGTGTGGGTCTAAATATCAGCCTTTCTCTGCTGTCGCCTCATCGTCGCCAGATGGAAACACCCCTGACGTCTTGCCGCCTGCCGGCTGCCGAGACAGGCCGGAATAACACAGCGTGAGGAAAGGGCCAGAAAGTACCGAGCAGAAAGAGGCTGACCCGAAACGTCTTGTCTTTCAGAGCAAAAAAAAAGATTATTGCTTTTGTTTTGCACCTAGGCAGCAACGCGTGACTATTAGCAGCAGGCCAGGAGAGAGTCCCGTGTCTGCGAGAACCACGCGTCCAACACCGAGGCTTTGACGCGAAAAGGCGAGCGTCGTCATTTGGGGTGGGAGCCACGCTCGCCCGCCGCTTTGGCCCCAGCGGACGCTCCCTGCCGTGCTCTATGTATGTCAGCCGCGTCTTGTCTTCACCAGCTGCCTGGCGTTGGCTCCAGCCGAACACGTGGCTCCCAGTTGTGGCCACCCACGTTCACACGTCCCTGGTGCTGAGATGGCATTTTCACTACTCACTATATTTATTGACTCCTGACAAATCATTTTGCTCACCGATGCGTTCACGGAGCTGAGCATTTCTCCAGACTCACCTGGAGGATTGCTCTGCCCCTTGCTTGGGTACAACCCGCCACGTTTCTCACTCCCGCGGCCTAACAGCACATCCAGAGCAGGCCTGGCTTTCGTGAGAAGCTGCTTTTATTAGCTGATGTCCACCCCACTTGGACAAGGATTGAACTTCTGGTCGGAGTGGGGGGACCCTGCCCCCACGCTTACCTTCCCAATTTCCACTCCAGCTTCTCCCAGCACTTGCTGGCACCAGACATGCGGCGGGGGAGGCAAAGCTGAAGTCACGGGCCTGGTCAGGCATCTCAGCCTCGGCCTCCTTCGAGCTCCTCGGTGCCTGCCCTCATCTACTGGGGTGCTGGGACCAACCTCTGTTCATCTCTCTGGTGGGAATTGTTTTATTTATATCAAAAACTTTGCTTGAGGAGGTCCTGATTCCGGCTCTTCTAACCAAGATTGACAGTACTAGCTACCAGGCCCTGGGGTCAGCCTTTCTCCAGGGGTGTTTGATGGTTCATGTGAAGATCATCATGAACTCCAGCAGGAAACCTTGAAGCTCCCCAGAAGGTCTCGTCTCCCGCTGCTCCAGCACCCAGTGCAGCAACAGCGCCCGAAGGCTCAGACCTCTCATCTGGCTCAAGTGGGTCAAAGATTTCCACCTTCATCTCTTACCACAGAGTGGGTTATGGCTATACTGGGGAGGGGGGGAGGTCTCCTTAGCCAACTGTTTGTTAACTGAGAATCTCAAAAATGTTTGAGTTCATCCCGTTTTTGAC